GTTAAATGGCTTATCCATCTTGCCCCCACCCCTGTCGCCTGCATTCTCCCTGGTTCACAGATTTTTGTGCTAGCAATGTTCGAAGCTGAAACCGCAGCTGTCCTCCACTCGTCTACGCGCTAGCCGTTCCCGACAGAGAACTCAGAAGAAAGTTTAAGCAGTCACGTAACTGCAGCACTTACCGCTCTTGTTGTCGTGAAGACGAAGATGTGGGCAGCAGTGGTCGACGGCGACGTGGTGGGCCGTTCAGTGGTCGCCTTTGTGGTTGCAGGAGCTTCTGTGGCCTGGAAGGAGTTCTATCATTGTCATACTTGGCTTCGGGCACGTGTTTAGGTTGAAGTTCGGTTCCGGGTGTCCCCGGGTGTCCCCCAAGAGGCCCATCGCGCGGCGAAGGAAGAGACGCAGACGCGGCAAAGGACGAGTCGCAGCGCGCGTCAGGTTAAATAGAGTGTACCATACTACGTCTCATATCGCACAGCACGCGCTGCGACTCGTCCTTTGCCGCATCTGCGTCTTTCCTTCGCCGCGCGATGGGCCTCTTGGGGAACATCCTTCGGTTCCTATAGATGATTCTGTCCCATTGACGTTTTGAGGATGGCATGCTTGAGGCTTCTATTCACACCTATTTCTGAAAATTGAACAAAAATTCAGGAACGAAGAAGTTTCTACCGACCACAATTAGTATCCTCGTCCGCTCCCACCTCACCATACCCAATGAAATCACCGTTTCACCCTTACGTGAAAAGTACAACGAAAAGGATCCTTGTATTCTTGATTTCTGCGTTACGACTTTTATCAGTCGCTGTCGTTTTCTATCAGAGAAATCAAAAACAACAAAATCAGAGGACGCTGCCCCCCTGTTCTTCTTCTGTCACTACTGAACAGTTTTCCTCTTGCTTTTATCTGAAACATTGAGGACTACTGCGAAATGTTGCAGTTAGCCCGACTATGCCCTTGACTAACCTAAGCGATCTGCAAATTTGAACCCTAGGTTGTTGCAGTCAGCCCGACGGTGCCCTTGACTAAGCGATCGGCAAAGCAACCCTAGGTTAGTTTCAGATCTTGAAAGGGTAATTATTTGGAACGTCACCCAGTAAAAAAGTCCACTAGCAGCCCGAAAAAACAGAGAAACTCATAATATTATAGAATACCTTTTCTGTTGTGATCCGTAGCTCAGTTGTTTCCCGCTGAGGTTCTCCAGAAACATCGCCAGGAATCCGTGTTTCTTCTTTGGCCTCGACTTCTGCCTCCTCTTCTGAGGGTGCACTAGTGCTCGATGGTGTAGATACAGTAGTTCTAATAGTCGACTCGGGTTGCGACTTTTCTAGAGACACCGTAACAAGCGTGTCCTGAGAATCGGCCAGTTTGAATGTGGGGAAAGTCGGTTCCGTTGTGGAAAGTTGAGGAAGTTGAGGTGGTCGTAGAGATTTCCTTGAATTAAATCTATTGAAATATTCTTCAAAAACAAACAAAGCCGTTTGATTTTACCTGTACAGTGAAATCTGGCAGCTGTTTCGACTTTTCTTTTGGTGTGAACATCTCCGGAACGACGGTGACAAACGGTGGAAAAGTGATCTCGAAGACATCTTGGTCGAGCTCCTCGAAATCGCGTTCACCGAGGGATACGATAGGCCTAGAATTTTGCAAGGTAAAATTAAGGAGTCGTTTTTTCCTAAAAGAAGACCTGGACAGAAAAAGGGTATTATTTTTTGTTCATTCATTTATTTATTCATCTATGTTAATTACTCTGACCCATTTGATGAGACTTATTGTAGCATCATCGCATTGTTGATAACCCTTCTCAGAGTGTCATAACGCCCTGCGCTCTTTAGTGTCCACCATTATTTGAAGATTCAAGGATTGACGCTTGATGAAATTAAAACACTTCGAAATCGAAGACTCTTTTCCACGACGATGGGCGTGCTCTCATATAGAGAGATGACGTGTTTTCGTCGGATGGTGTAATAACTCGAGGACGGAGCCGACGTGACTGAAAAATTATACTTATTATACTATTGCCTTCTGTTTCTGTTATAGGATAACAAAATGCCACATTTAATGAGAGGAAAAACAGTTCTAAAATTAAGAAAAAGGATATATACACCAAATATCGATTATTATTAACAGTTTATAAGTTACACGAACTTATATAGAATGCAGAGATGGAATCAAATGAAGAACTGTAAGTTATGTTGATGAATGTGCCGGATACTGAATCTGTAACCAGACAAATCACTAGAATTTACCAATCGTTGGACTTTCAGGAAACGTAAGTATCGAACAACCTACCTCAACCTTAAAAAGCCAGAATTGTGCCGTTTGCAGACATACCCAGCCAAGACGACGGGGTCTCATCCAAAAGAGGCAGATTGTGATGCACGTCAGGTGTGCTCACCCCCAAGCCCTAGACGACTATCCGGTTCGCGGTCCGGTACTTGAGAAACTGTGCGCCAGGGGAGTGAAGCAGTCCTAAGGGGGGTGATTGCAAGCACTGATGCCCACCCCCGCTATGGATGAACCAGACGACGGCCTCCAAGAAATGGTTAGTAGTGGTTCATAGTGATAGCTGATTTTAGTAAATGATAGTTGTAATTACTGTCAACTGATCGAATACAACTGTAACAGGTTAATCATTTCATTGGCAAAAAACATTTGCATTTTCTGGAGGCCGTCGTCACTTGTGGTGTATGGTCTGCACCCGACACTTTCTGGCTTTTTGAAGGGGAGGGTATGTTAAGTATCGCGTTCCACCAAGTATGACAAATTCAGTGCCAAAAGCGATACCCCAGCAATTACACCTTGTTTCCGCACTGTCCTGTCGTAATTAAAGATAGTGGTTACGCATTGTCGTCATGTTCGCAAGAGATGGATAGCCTGTGATACGTTTTCTTGAACCGAGACGAAACTATTGAATCTGGACCCACAACAAACTATTTATAAACGTCACTCAGGTTTCGTCACGTGGATGTTTGCTTTCCAGATGTGGATGAATGAGTTTCGTGATGATACGAGAGTTCACAGGATCGCAACAGCTTAGCTACCACATCGGAACGAGGCTAGGCACGGTGAAGACGCGTCTCATAAATACCAGAATCCCGGACGTGGAAACCAAGTGTCAAAAATCCGCTGTAAGAAGAGAAAACGAACGCTGTGTTGGTCTTGGCGGCAGTATTCGCTCAGTTGGACGCGTCTTCTTCTGGCAGTACGGTGGTTGTGTCCTTCTAATGGACATGGCTGAATGGTTGGCCCATCTAAAAAATTTTCCATACTGTCTCGAGCAGCGCCATTCAACTCTAATAAAGTTTTACCAATTCTGAATAGCCAAATTCCGGGCTGTCCGACGTTGCTGAGCTGTGTGAGCTGTTCGATGCCTTGCGTGCCCGAGCCGGGTAGACTGACCGACGAAGAAATGTCGTTAGTCATGATTGCAGCCTTGAATAAGAATAATTGGCACTATTTCCCGAGGAAAAAGGAAATCAACGACTGAACGTTCGCAAGCAACTTCTTTGAAATTGATGGCAACTCACTTCGGCCCCGTCACCCCACTGCATGTCCTTATAGAGCATTTGAGCGAACGTCATTTTCTCTTGTTTGCTGTTCATTCCATTGATCAACAATGTTTGGAAAGTATTTCCTCGCTGAAATGAATTCGATAGGGTCAAATGAAAGGATGATCACATTTGAAAACATATTATCATTTCTCCAGACGGATCCGCTGACGAAGGCAAGCCAGTCTTATCACAAGAATGCTGGGTTGTGGAACAAAACTTTCGCCCCAGCGGGATTCGTAACCCGGATCTCTTGCTTTCCGGGCAATTGTGCTACCAGTTACACCACCGGGGCACCATTTCACCCCAACTCAGCTTCGATGGTAAGGTTACCATAGTTACATCTAATAGAGCTTTCAGCCTCGTGGTTCACAGCCGATATCGGCTAAGGCTGATAAGCTATGGTAACTTTACCATCGAAGCTGAGTTGGGGTGAAATGGTGCCCCGGTGGTGTAACTGGTAGCACAATTGCCCGGAAAGCAAGAGATCCGGATACGAATCCCAGCTGGGGCAAAAGTTTTGCCCATAACTACATGCCAGTGTTTTATGATGAAGTAGACTCATTGAACGATAACCCCGGTATGGCTATTGCGCTCGAAAATAAAGGCTGACGCGTAGACTGGTTCAGTACTAGTTTCACTGAGTCAGGCGAGTCCTTGACTCTGCCCTTTAGCTTTGCTATCCTACTCCTTCAGCAGATTTCCTGGAAATGACCGGAATGCACTTACCTGTGCTCTACCGTCGGTGACGTTCATATACGTGACGATCAGAACGCTTCTGGCTTGGAACGTGGGTTCCTCGTAGTTTTCTTGAATGCTACGTGTGACGCGCGTCAAAGTATCCGAGTCTAAACGAAACTTTTACAAGGTGTCCGGAATTTCTTCGAACTAAACTCTTTTTTTGTCCTGAGCCTATCAATGACGAAATGAACAGCAAGGCAAATGCTCATAAGTAAAGTAAAAGGGTAATCGAACTAGCGAAAACCCCACCAGTCACTTCAGCCACTGTTACATGTCCTCCTCGGCTGGTGTCGATAGGAGCAAAAAACGGTGCCACTCCGGTCAGATGCATTTGTTCCAGATTGTCACCGAACGTTTTTGGCACGTCCGTTATCGAAAGCAAACCAGAAGTTGTCACCTAAAAGTGCAATTTCATTCAAGTTCTTTGAGTGTACCGTAATGAAAAACTAGCCTACCGTAATCTTGTCATACGTTTTTCCAAACAATTTCATCGGTGCTTTGAGTTGCCACAGAACCTGAATTCCAGGAATACTTCCGGACTAACATGGTCCAACAATTCAAAAAAGTTAAAAACTGTAGTATTACTGAACTCCTAAGGACAAAATAGACATTGTGAAACATCGGTACTTACCTTGGATGTTTTACTCTTCGGCAGAGGCTGATGAGAGTCAGATGGGAACAAGAACGTCGTATAACAGCATTCAGATGGACGCCATAGCTGGAATGAAATGTTGAGTGTACATGCTCACATAATTCAGTATAGCCGTTTCACAAATACTGTGAACTTTATGGGTCATCTTCATTACTTAACGCACTAACCAGGGACGTCTGGCGATTCATGCCAACGCTTCCAGAACGCGTTTCCCGTATAATATAGGGACAGGTGCATGTTAAAAATGAACTATTTGATTTTTTAAAGCCACGAGTCAGGATTAGGTGACCATAGAAGGCCTTTCCATCACTAATATTTCCAGGAATGCGCTCAGAGGGGTGATGCCACACTCCTGACTCGAGATTGCGCGCCGTCAAGGCCTCTGGCCTACTACTTACAGCGATGGGTTCGTTTCATCAGCTGGTCCCGCCCACCGCGGGATGTGGTGCGTGGCTGGCCTAACGTGTGAGATCAGCTAGGGTTGATTGCCGTATCAACCGATGGAACGGCTGGCACATATCCGAGAAACTCGTTTGGACGTGGCTCTCCCCGAGCAAGCCTCCTTCACTGCTAGAAGGGAAGGGGTTTCGATTTCGGTCTTGTCGACGGTTTCTTTGCGTTTTTTCTTCACTGTCGTTCCACCTCCCATCTCTACACTCAATTTCAGGCGCCATAATGCCCAAACACGAGCCTGACTTTTGCCTTTAAGTTGCTTAAGCGCCCGCCGAACGCCAAAAAATAAGACTAAACTTATTTGTCCATGGGTCGTTCCAAGTGGACAAAGGTTTTAATTCAAACCGACGTTACATGAGCGCTAAAAGTTCCGGGCTATTATGAGAACTTTTTGACTACAGATCACAGTAAACCATTTTAGCGAGCGTCAGTAAACCAAAAACTGATGTCAAAAAGTGGGAGCTCACCTTTTATTCATCCCATGACTGGCATTCGTGAGGCGTCAGGAAATAAAGCATAGTGTGTCATCGTTCCCCTTATACATGACGAGTAACCGATTCAGAAGCGGGTACGCCTGAAAGAACGCCCTGAAGGGTGGAGCGTTCCCCCGTAGTGTGTAACCTTCCCGACGTGCTCCACTGCAGGGTGCACCTTGCGGACCGATCACTAAGAGAGGGCTGCACATAGTCTATTCCAGGGTAATGAACGAAAGATCTCTTCAAATCAATTTGTTTTCAGCGGCATAGTTTCTTACTTGCAGCACTTACTGTCTCACACACATACATCAAAAACGGGCCTTTTGTTGAGAGCGATTTTGGTTGGAAGAGCAATGAAAGAGAAGAAAGAAATCCCTTTCTATTCTCCCTGGGAAGTAGGCAGGGTCAACCGTCCGTTGGACAAAGTCCAACGCGACGACGAGAGTAATGCCGAGAGTGAACGTACGCACGGAGACACAGACGGCTCGCGGGTGGCGAGAGTGAATGCCGGCGCGGAGAGCGGTGAACATCGGTCCAACGTCGCTCCAATATCGGTCCAACGTAACGGTTGACCCTGGTTCGATAGCCTGCGCAGCCAAGAAGGATAGCCGCGGCACGTGGTAGACGCGCTGCTCGCGTGCAATTTCCAGTATGTTTGTTTTCTTTGTGACCCTTTCTGACTAAAACATTCAAATTTGCTAAAGTCCGCTTGGTTGGCGAGTTGGTGAACAATTCTGGAGTGCTCTATTAGCAACCACGTTTCCCTGTTTTTTTAGTGAAGATTACAACGTTAGACTTAAAGGTTTCCAGGGGCTTTGTTTGTGGTCACTATAAGGTCTGGAAAGACCCATGCATTTTAAAGACTGAAGCCTTCAGGTATTTCTAGGTTAATTTCCCTGAACTTGAAAAGAATAGTCTTTGGCGATCCCCGCCTTCGCAGATCGAAGTGCAGCGAAGCAAAGGTAGATAGGTACTCGAGTGAGGTGCCGAACGGTAAGGGTGGTTACCTGAGAAGCCCTCTTGACACTGGCAGAAGTACCGTCCAGGTGTGTTCGTACACACGGCGTTCTTATGACAGACTTGCTCTCGACACTCATCAATATCTAAATAACAGCAGTTAGCATGACAAAAGCACAACCATTACAAAACATTGATGTAGAATTGAAAAAAATAAAAGTTTTTATCCTTCCTTGCATAGTCATTTTTTGAACGTAACCGCTTGAAACCCGTAAATGGATCCTTTTTTCTTCTCTTTTGTATCATGGTTGGCTTGATTGAATGGTCAGCTTGCCGTTTTTTATCGTTCAAAGTGCTTTTCCTTATTTATTCTACTTTCATACTTGTTTAGCGCGCCACGGAAGGCAGCGAAAACCAATAAAATTTGAGCATAAGTTTTTGGGACGAAGTCCAGATAGGGCGCTTACCATGACATGTTTTGTACCCGTCGCCTTTGAACCCGGCCAGACACTGACACCTTTGCAAAGGTTCTCCGCAGCGATCGTAGTCGGTGAATGAGATCGCGTTTGGAGCGCATTGAGCCGAAGGTCTGGCATGACAGTTTTCTTTCTCTGCAATTAGTCAAGCTTATTCGGTGCTAGAGTTTTACATCACCTGAAGCCAACTTACTTGTCTGGCAGTTGCCTCCCAACCAGCATTCAGCACATCCTTTAGAACATTCGCCAGTCAGTGGATGGCAAGTTCCTTCACCACAATGACAGCACGACGCACAGTCGGCTCCCCATTCGCCCGACGAACACTCTGAACTCAATTTAGTTAGTTTTAACCTATTCGCGATTATGTTCGGATTATTGAAGTGTTAACTTCGGACAATGTCAGCCACCGGTGGCTGACGGGCTCCGAGTAAAAGGGAACAATTTACAATTTCTGAAATGTTTTTTTTGATGAAAAGATCTTTTCACCTGCATTGATCTTGCACTAGGAAAAATTTCAACGAAAATTATTCATTTTTCCAAATTCACCCCAATTCACCCTAATTTCAGAAGAGGATCGTGAAAGCAATGTCAGCCACCGGTGGCTGACACTTCGCAGTCTTCTCAGACCTCGGTCTGAACGCGGAGCGGTGTCGAAAAGCGCTAGTCGCGAGTGGGCTAAATATTGGTCTTGAGTTTTTTCTTTTTGCCTCTATGATTTTTTCTTTACACAACCGAATGGCGACAGCTATTTTGCTGAAACTGGTAGAGTTCTCCAAAAAACTCTGGGGAAAGCGTGACAATTCTCCGCCGGTTTTGCCCTCTTCTGTACGAGAACCACTAACTTATTTATACTTGATGAAATAGAGCAGGTGAAAGACTTCAGTGAACACAGTTAGGAAAAAGAAAAAAAAAAAAAAGGAAAAGGGAGAAAAAAAAAAAAAAAAAAAAAAAAAAAAAAAAAAAAAAAAAAAAAAAAAAAAAAAAAAAAAAAAAAAAAAAAAAAAAAAAAAAAAAAAAAAAAAAAAAAAAAAAAAAAAAAAAAAAAAAAAAAAAAAAACCATACCTTCGTCGCATGTAGTCACCCTTGATGCCTTGCTTACACCGGATCACTCGTTTCTCGCCCAGTTCGAACATCCATTCACCAGGTCCCCGTTATTACGATTCCTCCAGATACATGATATTACCAGTGCCCGATGCTGCAGTGCATAGTGTTCGGAGTTATCGCCGCGATTGAAACCAGCCTGAAATGGATCTGATCGACATACCGGTGCTTGAAAACTGTTTTCTGAAAAAATACGGCACATTCTTCAAAAACAATGGGCTGTCATACATATGTCATCCTTAGGACGTGGCGGATGTCATAGTTCTCAGCCGATCAAGTGCTCAGAATATCAAATTTGTGCCTTAGGAGGATTTTCATGTTTCTAAACCCTCACTGCGAAGTCCATGCGAGTGCAGCTACCGCTGTGAATGACAGAGATCTTCGTACCATGAAAGCTTGTTTGGACCATCCACAAGCGATCGGCTTGGAAAAAGCTTTCTAATGGCCTCAAAAATTCGCATATGGCCCTGTTTGGGAGCAATGACACCACAAACGAGAACATTTCGCAGAGCGCCTTCAATAAAGAGATGTGTTAGGCCTAGATGTATTTTTACAATGAAAAGCTTCTCAAAATCTTTTAAGATCGTTTGAACAGTCTTGAACGGAGTTGTGAAGCAAGCAACTCTGGAGGGATCTATTCCATTTAATAGCACGTCTTGCCTGCTGATTTCTCGATACAAAGATTACAGTCAACTCATAATTTCTTAAGAGAATCGTTTAGCAGATTTGAAATGTTAGAGGGGGGGGGGCAAAAAAAGATATTTTGCCCATTTCGCACTTCAGCCCTTTTCTTCGCAGAGATTGCCATCAATGATGGAACTCCTCAGCAAAAAAAAGGATAAAGGATAAAGCATTTGCCGTTGATCAATCCTTTTTTGGGATGCGGCACGCATTCTACTTCTTCATTTGTACATTCGTAGTGGCGTTTGAATGCGATGTGGCCTATACAATGACTTGCGGGGGCCAGCCGATGTACAAGTCAGTGTTTTTATCCTCCCAGACAAGTCTGGTACCAATTAACCGACCCCGGAGGGATGGAAGGCTTGGTTGGCCCGGGCGACTCACGACCCAGGATTTGATCCCCGGACCGCTCGCGTGGTAAGCGCGCCACTTGTCACTACACCACTTCCGCCCACTTCGCAGCAGAGTATTCCCTAAGTGTTCCTCTATAGTGAACGCAGGCCCTCCTTCACTGCCCTCACCGTCTTCAGAATATGACGTCATCTGTCACCGTCGTCAGGCTCAAGGAGGTCTACCGTAAGAGCTTCAGCCTGAAGCTCTTACGCAATTTCGTGAATCGATTTTAATGTTGGATAGTTTTCTAGAGAAGCATTAGCTCCCACTATGCAAATCCCCTCGGAACTAGCTTTCCAGTAAAGGGTCGTTATGGTACACGATCCTTCGAAGACCCCATTGAGCTCGACCAGTGCACCATGTTTCCAGGGCAATTCTTCTGATGCCGTCCACGTAGGTGGCCACTATGAAGATTTTCTTATAGAATGGAATGCTCTCTTTAATAATGATTGAACCATTCATCGGATGATTGAGGTAGAGTTGAACTAAACTCCATGCTGAATGTGGAGACAAAAATGTTTATCTTGCCCCACCCCTGTGTATATTTGCGTCTAGCGTCTAAAAGGACATCTAGGCGTAAGCACTGCTTCTCGTATGGTCATAACGACCTAGGGTCTTTTCCTTTGCAGCAAGCAGGAACACCGTCAGGACTGGAAGAGCACCCGGAGGTACATTACACAGTAAAATTCCCTTGAGCTTGCAAGTTCGAGCATTTGTTCTGGAAAAACGCCAATAGTAGCTGAAATTATCCTCAAAAATTTTAGGCAAGGAACTCGTAAACCGACAGTTCCTCAAACTTTACAGACGCTCTCATCAGAGGAAAATAATCCAAAAAGAGCAGCTCGTTTCCAGCTGAGATTCAAAGCGCGAGAGACGAGGTTTGATCATAGGAAGGCAACAGTCATAAAAAAGATCGAGCACTGAAAAACAAGTAAGAAGCAAAACCTGAAAGAATCCATGGAAAAAAAGCGCTTCGATGGCCAAAACTAGAAATGCGGCAAAAAATGCTAATGCGATTGAAAAGCACCAGTTGCAGAGGTAGACAAATGCAAGGCAATATAATTTAAATCTAATGTGAGGAAACTGCTCTTTTGGAGAGCAACCTCGAACTACGAGGGGATTACAACGTCTACCGGATGCTAGATTCCATTAAATTCCCTGTACTCATAACAACTGAAGGAACCGATTTCTGTGCCAGAACATTCTGCTTAGAATGTGATGGTTTGACCAGTTTTCGGAAGTAAATCATAAGAGGACTATGATTGCCAGATTCGTATGTTGCAGAAGTCGACTGTGTTCTAAAAAAAACTTACTCTCTGGAATACTCTATAAACCTTTCCAGGACTTTTAAGTCTTTCTGGGTATTTCAGTCCTATTCTAGTTCTAAAACGATGAAAATTAGAAGTATTTTCCCTTTTGTCGCCTTCGATTTCCCCAATCATCAAGGGTACCCGTGGAAGTTGAACCAATGATGAGACACAGTTCCTGGAGCCCACCGCGCACGTGAAAAGCCTCTACTTCTCGCTGCCCGAAAAGCCTGGTTGTTGGAATTTGATGAACAATCAAGTTTCTGGTTTGTTATCCAAGCTAGAGTCAACAGGTGTAGCCCAAGAGCCCCTTCGCGCGACGAACGACGGCGAAGTTGTGCGCTCATCGTCAGCGTTCGGTGTAGAAGGTACCGTAGTCTTTCAAACATCCGCCCAGAACTCTAGAGAATAATGTCATTGGCAGTAAAAAATCTTGAATAGTTTTTGTACTCCTTGTATCAGCGCTGCTTTGAACCAAAAGCCATGACACGGTTGCGCTCAAGAATCCCTTGAACAAACCGAAGGACAAGAAACACATTTCATACATTTTATCAGATTCCAAAGTTCTGAGTTCACGTCGTGAATTAAAGTGCATTTGACGTGAGCGACCATAACACATTTAGTTCGACGCCAAAGTTTTACAGTCGGCCCAGTGCGAAGTAGAAGGCCATAAAAATCCTGCGCTCACTTCTCTTGACGCGATCCTAGCTCCTCTATCTACATCCGGACTGCGTCCCACACAAGATAAGTTAAGACTTTTATTTTAGAGGATAGTTTATTCCACTACGGTGTCTTTGCTCAATACGCATCCAAATATGCGCAGATCAGCGGGAACACTCGTCGTGCGTTACGCCAGATTGAGTTACGACATTTGACAGAACGCTGCTATGGTTTAGGCCGATCTACTACGACTTATCCCTGGAAATTCGACCCTCCTCAATAAGCATCCCCCCAACCGCCATCCAACTGTACAGAACATCGGTCGGTCACCATCAAGAGCATGTCTCGGTCGCATTCCACTTGAATGGCTGCTGGTACATAAACGAGACTAGTGAGTGAAGGAAAACAGGAACTACTTCGAGGTCGCGACCGCTTACAGACCTCCAAACTCCTATACATTGTTTTCCTTGTCGAGCTAACCGCCCTGGGGTCGGCAAAATGCTTTTAGGCTGCTTCTATCCGTCAAGCGAATCCGGTCCTCCCATACTCATTAACATATGAACACGCTGCGGGACATCGAACACGCATTGCTTATGCAAGGACAAGAACGAATGAAGAGAAAGGGCCATAAAGCGTCACCGCGGCTCACCTCAGCACCCTGAGTCCAACCAATATTGCTGTAGATGAAATTCGCATAGGTGCCATTATCCGTGATGAAAAGGGCAGCTTGGAATGTGTTCGTATTCTGAAAATAACAGCTTTGAATTCTCCAAAAATACAAAAAAAGCGCCAAAATCTGGCTTTCCCTCAGAAATATTTGTGGCCCACTTCTTCAGGTAAAGCGGCGGTTCCTTCTAATGGTTGCATTTTCTCCCATGTGACAACCACAGCTGACTTGACGACCACCGACCGGTCGTACTGGTACCGGATTTCGCTTTGGCCGCGTTCCAACACCCGTCCTTCTAAAAAGACTGCTTTGAAACCTGTTCGGGTGCAACTGTTGGTCTCGTTATGCTAATATATCAATCAATGCGTTCGATTTCTCAGGGAATAGACGTGACCACTTTCCGAAGTCGTTTCTGTTCCAAAACGGCGCAATCATTCTTGCACCGCTCGGGAATAGACCGGCTTTGTATGCGCGAGCGTTGGCCTCAAATCCGATTGCACCATTCGAAAGCACCTGAACATACCAGGGTTTTTTCCAGTACAGCACAGGCCTCGTTTTATCCAATACGAACATTGGCCCCTACGGAAATCTCAAAGCTCACATAAAGTATTGGTAGTCTTCTCCATTAAAAGTAGAGGAACTTGGTCAAGTATGAACTTTCTTTCCAACGTCAAGCGCTTGAGGTACTTCATTGTCCTCGGCATCCTTGCCGAACTCAAACAACCGAAGAAAACAACGGCGCCGTCACCTGAAAGAATGGTCCTATTTGACAAACGAGAATCCTGCAAAAAAAATACTAGGGAGCTCTTGTAGTAAGAAAGTTTGCTCTGAGTATTCGAAGATAACTGAACATCTTGTTTCACATACCGTATTTCATCAAAATGTAAATTTTTGCAATTTTTTTTACTAATCCCATCACGTTATAAATTATTGGGACAACATAAATTTTGTAAGCTCTAGGTCCCATAAAGTCAAGAAGACGAGTAAGGTAACACCGATTTTTGCGAAGGGGATCACCGAGTCGGTGAATCACTTCACTGCCACTTTTTCTCCAATCCCAAAGCTTCCCAATCTTGTGAAAATCGGGATTACTGTAGGAGACACGAACTGCTAGCATGCCCCTCCCAACCTTATCATAATAAAGTAGTAAGAAGCTTGGTATAAGTTATTAAGCACTCAATAATAAATTCACCTTCTCAGCAGCTCCACTACCCCCCCTCCTCCTGAAAGTTCGTACCGAGTTACTAGATGTCTAACAAGTGATATGGCGCCGAGGTTTATGGTAGCGACTCACTTTTCTCGAGCACGATTTGGGGGCACATTGTTTCCTCTTCGGAGAGAAATTTACAACATATACCGAAAACCCAAGTAATGGGGCAGGAATGAAGCCAGTAGCAGTTCGTAACTCCAGAAGAGTCGTTGAGAGAAAAATCAAGATCCGAGAAGATCGCACAGCGATGCCCTCTCTCCCCTTCAGAATGAAGACCGTAATCCTTATAAGTATAACCCTAGCGGCGAGGCGTAACTAGTACACCAATGGCGCTTGCTCTCTTAACGCGCGACCCCCGGGGGATTTTCAAGTTTTGGTCGTGCGTCACCAGCCAGCTAAAAGCTCCATCTCCTCCGAGGCGCCGTTAATTGTACCGACAATGTGTGGAGAGATGAATTACTGACTTGTACACAGACCGTAGCTTAAGCTGTACAGGCCAACCCCATTTAAGGAGCTGCTACGAATGTAGAATTGACAGTAGATGCGTCCGCACTAAAAAGAGATTGGTCAATAACAAATTTTTATCCTTATCCTTATTATCTTGGGTCACCATTGGTTTTGAAGGGTAGTTTGACCACTCACTTTGCTGGCTCCCCAGCTGATGAAGCATTCAGTAGAAAACGGCGTGAGACATACACGAATGCCATTATTATTTTTCTCTACACGGGGCACAAGCCCCCGAAAAAAGAAGAAGAAACTTAGCTGGCTTGATGCTATTCGAATTAATCTTTCCCACAGCCCTCAAAGCGACTCGTCATATTAATGGAATTGGATTCGCGGAACAAAAAAAGGAAAAGAAAAACATTGCCGCAGAACCGGAAGCTTCAAGTCATTTGTTGCAAGTCGTCTCGGAGATTCCGAAGATCAGATCGTCCAAGTCTCCAGGGATATCTAGGAGCTTCGGCGCGGCTGCATTCCAAGAATCCCCAAAGATAGTTATCTACGCGAAATCGTTCCAATATTCGATCTCACCATTACACACCCAAATAGGAAAACATTTATCCGATTGAATGCCAGACTACCGGTTTTCTTTGACCGGAACAGAATTGTTCCCAGTGGGAACATTCCGAAAAGAATCAGTTATCAAATAAATCGCTCAAGCGTCTCCCCCTTGTTTGCATATGTTAATCGAAAGTAAACGAAACTCAAACAAAAGAAGAACGCTCAGACGGCTTGATGAATCTTGGGCGCTATCGCAGGATACGGGGGCATTGCAATGGCAGTGCCTTGATACCGCGTGAAACATCTCTTTTCTTGGAAACCGCACTAAGCCTCAGGCGGGGAATGAGAGACTTGAGGGTGCGCCAGTATTTTCATTTTCCTCAAAGTTCCTGCCCCTCCTAGCTTACTACTGTAGGATGCCCCCATATCTTGCGATAGCGTGGGATCTTTTTTGAAATGTATGTATTATAGAAAATTTGTAGTTTGACATTTTTCTATAGGGCCAAAATACTGTCATCGCATTTGGAATTCTAATTGATCTCATCTTGCTTCCAACTCGACCCTTCCAACTCCAAACCAACGATAGAGGGGCATCTCAGGAATATATGGTAGCAGGACTTCCATTAACGGTGGCGCTCTACGCGAGCCTACGGAAGGTATGCTTGGTGCGCCACTAGCAGAAAGTCCTTTCTTGTCCACCCCCCCCCGCGCTCCCTCCTGCACACATAATCAATTTTCAGAATATTAATTGACTTACAAATTTAAAATATTTCAGAGCAGAAGAAGGTGGTGCGCGCCGAAGTATTTCCGACTCAAAGAATATACCATTTTCGAATTCGTTTTCTGGGATACTTTTGTTCCATTTTTGATAACAAATTCATGGAGCCTCAAAGAGTATTAACATTCAGATCGACATAAGGCTTCGGGACAGCACAATCTTAACAAAATTAGTCCATTAATACTTCAAATATTTAGCATCATGCTCGTTTGTGACGATGAATCCATTGATTCGTGCCTTTTAGCTCCCTGCACGCCCCTGTTTGAAAAAACCGCATCCAAAGTCCTTTACAAATCTGAGTGGAGAGGAATGCATGGCGCATCAAAAATGAGGATCTCGACGAGCTTTCCATTCATTTTCGTCAGTACATAAAGCAACGTGGGATGAACTTCACGCTGCTCGAACCTTATTCAGGAGTCAAATAGAAATATGAAATAAAATAAAAAATAAAACATAATACGAATCTTTTTCACCCTCAACAACTGGGTTTTTGAAATCTATCGTACTAGTATACGATAATATATTGAAGGCCCTCCTACCAGTTAACTCAGAGTTACGAAAAATTGCAGTCCACTTCCAGAAGGTCACTTCTACCAGGTGCAAGTTCATTAGTTATGGCCTTGGAAGGTGTTTTTGTTGTTCCTCGCCATTAAAACGCAATTGCCAAAGGTTAATAGGTTCAAAAAGATGAGGTGCTCGGAGTAAGACATCATTGAGAGAAATTACGATTTTTCCTCGAAAAATTAATGGCGATCTCCGATAATATTAATCTCATCGATGACAAATGTTTCCAGCCAGATAACTGGCTCCTGCACTCTTTCTGTTTTGTGGTAGTTTATACCAGCAATTCCACAGAACAACACAACTTAATTAATATATTTAGATATATATTTGGTCGGAAAAAATAAATGTGAAAATAGTAAAAAATATTGCGGAGCTCATGTTGTTGGAGGGGGGGGGGAGGGACACTCAAATGAGTGGCCCAACAATACCAATTGGACTGACGATGAGCCTAGAAAGGGAAAGGGTCCCTGGAATGATGTGAGCAACTTCTTTTCTCCCTGTCGTATAATCCCTCTCCTGGGCTC